TTGTTTTTAAAAAACAGCGTGATCTGAGTTCAAACGCAAGCTCTACCACTTACAGCTATGTTAACCTCTCTAGACCTGATTCCTCATCTATAAAATGAGATGAAGTAGAAAGCCTATAAGGTCCTTTTTGCTTTCAATCTGCTGTACTATGACCTTACCAGAATACTAGCCAAAATGTTCTCCTCATCAAGAGTTCATGGGATCAGAGCCCTTTAATTTACAGAAGTGGAAACTAAAACCCAAGAAGGCCAGTTTCTTGCCTAAGGCCATTGTTGTTCAGTCATTTTTCAGTCATGTCTGACTCTTCATGATCCTATTTGGGATTTTCTTGGCAATGATACTGCCATTTCCTTCAACTCATTTTACAGATGAGGAAACTGAGTCAAACAGGGTTAAATGACTTGCCCAGGGCCATACAGCTGTAAGTGAATGAGGCCATATTTGGACTGTGGAAGATGAGTCTTCCAGACTACAGGCCTGGTGCTCTACCCACTGCACCACCCAACTGCCCAAGTTCAGGTAGGTAGTAAACATCAAAGGTAGGATTTGCATCTGGGTCCTCTGACTCCAAAACCAGTGCCCTTTCTACTTTATCATGATCATTTTGTACAGGGCCTTTCAGAGATATCATCAGAGAGGAAGTGGATTTTTAGATAGGCTTCAGATATTTGGAGACAAGGGGTGGCAGAGGGAGAGTTTATGATTAGGCTGGAAATAAACAATGGTAGATTTGGAGCCTGGAAAGCTTTAGATGTGCTTCTGGGAAAGGCAAGTGGGCCAGGAAGGCTAGAGCAGAAATTCCTAGGGTAGAAGAGTGAGCTACAGTTCTGGAAAGGTAGAAAAACATGGGGAGAAGAGGGGGAAATGCATAGAAGCCAGAGGAAAACAACATAAGCAGCACTTTCAGGGTTAACGTTCTTTCTTGCTTCAGAGTTTTGGAGGATTCCTTCCTGTGCAATGATTTCCTTATTCAAAAGCTGAGCTTTTGTAACACACATTCCCTGGGCAACGACCTAATGTTTGAAAAATGTTCCAGAGTCAGGGAGAAAGGAGAAAAACCTTCATAAAACTGGTACATTTCCCATTCATTGGGGAGGAGTAAAGAAAGGATGAGTCACCCAGCCCCTAAGCTCATCTATCTGCAGCTTCATCTTTTCAAGAGAAATGTACCCCATTCACAAAATGACAATTCCTTCCCAGCCCCAACTGTTGCTGTATATTTGTAGATAATAGGGCTCAGACATTCAATCAGATTCACCAATTTTACCCAAATTCAATCATTCAATTAAAGATCATTTTTTTAATAGAAAAGAGAAGAGTTGAAGGATTTTATATCATCTTTTCTGGTAAACCTCTGTTTTGTGATAATAACATTGCTACTAAAAGTATCAACAACAACATGATAGATATTATAATTGGAAAGGGATTAACAACAGTAGGATAGGCATAATAAATAGAAAGGGAATAATTGATGATGATGATAACAATAACATTTTAATAGCACTTTAAAGGTTTGAAAGACTTAATAGATAACCAATAGCATCCTGCTCTAAAGCCACTGAGGGCTCCCAGAAGTCTCTTTCAAAATTAATACAATCTTCCACATATTGACTCTAAAGGTTAAAGAGGGCTTTATATTGAGGAAGGCAGCCTAGTTTGGTGAAAAAAGCACAGACTTTGGAGTCAATCCAAAAAGTTCAAAGCCTGACCATCAGGACAAGGGACATCACCTCTTCAGCCCTCAGTTTCATCATTGATAAAGATGGAAGCAAGAGTCTATTAAGTTCCTACTATGTTGTAGTCACTGTGCTAAGCACTTTATAAATATTATCTGATTTGATCCTCATGACAACCCTTGGAGGTAGTTGTTATTATCATCCCTATTTTATAGAGGAGGAAACTGAGACAGATAGAAGCTATGTGACTTGATGAGAGTCATGCAGCTAATAAGTATCAGGCTAGATTTCAACTCAGGACTTCCTGACTCCAGGCTGAGCAAGACAGCCACTTCTCCATCAAGCTGCCTCTGTAATATGAAAGAATTGGACTAGATGACTTCGGGGATCCCTTCTAACTCTAAATCTTTGAGCATACATTACTTCCTTCCATACTACCAGGTTTGATAATAGTTCTGGAACTGACCAGGATCTTAGAGACTGCTTTGTTCAACTTCCCCTGGTTTTAGAGGTAGGTCCAGACCTCACAAGGCAATAAATAAGAGATCTGAGATTTCAAGCCATGTCATCTGACTGCAAAGCCAAGCCCCTTCGCTCTTCAGCAAACTGTTTCATCAATCTCTGAAGCAGTAGTCCTTCCAGATGTCAGTACCTAGATAAATTACACCCATTTTTGGATGAGGCTCACAGAGCTAGAAAATGTCGTGGGCAGAAGTTGAATACAGGTCTTCCCGATTCTAAGTCCAGAGCTTTATCCTTATTTTAACAAATTGTATATCCACATAGTACTTTACAGTTTAAAATGTAGCATATTATAGTGAATGGAAAGCTGAACTTGAGTCAGGAACACCTAGATAAAGATCTTGCCTCCGAGATACTGGTAAGTGACCCTGGGCAACTTATTTGACTTCTAAGAGTCCCCGGCAACTCTCTATGTCTATAACTTACAGAGGAATTGCTGATCTGCATTGTTGCTAGGGGATTTTCTCATTGGGGAAGTTCTCTGCACCTATGAACTCACAGGTATGGACCAAAAATAAAGAACAAGAAAAACTTTACAGATCACAAAATGATTTGCTTCCATCATATCAGTTATAGGCTGCTGACAAGTGTGGGAATCCTCTTTCAGGGTGTGGTACATTTGTGATTGTTCTGTACATGCAAATGGCATATATGGAATTGCCTGTAGGCATTCCTACCCATTAAACATCTTAGGTTTGCTTCAATACCCTGAATCTACCTAACTCCCTCCAGACTATGGTACTTAAGCTGGCAAGAGGAACTCTTTGACATTGTGTTCCTTCCTTTAAATAAGATCATAGATTTAGATTGGAGCTGGAAGGGACCTTAAAGGCCATTGAGTCTGTTTTTTTCATTTTACATATGAGGAATTTGAAGCACAGAGAGATTAAGTGATTTACCCAGTCTCACACAGATAGTGAAGACCTGGAGATGGTTTTGAGCCAAAATCTTCCTAATTCCAAGTCCAGTATTGTACCCAATGTGCTATTCACCTTCATCCTCCTCTCTCTCAACACAGTGGAAACTTACATGAATTAGACTCTATTTTTCTTTCCTTTAACTTTCACAGTTAGGTGTTCTATTTCCAGCATGAACCTCTTCTATTGACTCTTTCCCTCTCCCTTTTTCTTCCGACTTGTCCAATTATGTCAAGAAATCTTTTTCCTTCTTTGTTATATTTTTAGCTCAAGAAGTAGCCTTAATCACCACTCTTGGGCATCGGAGCAGTGCTCTTGATAGGGTTTTTATTAAAAAATGGAAAGCCATAAATTTGAAGGAGAAATTAGACCTAATAGAGAACCCATGGCATCCCACTCTAAAATGATTGAGAAGTCCCAGAAGTCTCTTTCAGAACCAATGCAATCTTCCATCTACTAACTTTCTTCTCCAATTAAATCATTTCTCCCCCTTAGGAATCAGCATTATCAATAAAAACCACTGCCATTTTCACACTTTTATATTTCTTTCCTGTCTTGATTAATTGCTATTATTAGAGCTTTTAAATTTTTTTTTTTTGCAAATATCCAATATTTCACTTCCATGAGGCAGCCATGTGGTGCAGTGGATAGACCTGGAGTCAGGAAGACCCAAGTTAAAATCTAGCCTCAGGCATTTCCTAGTTGCATGACCTTGAGCAAGTCACTTAACCTTTGTTTGCTTCAGTTTTCTGGACTGCAAAATGAGGATATTAAAAGCATCTACCTCCCAGGGCTGTTGTAAGGATTGAATGAGATAATATCTGTAAAATACTGGTACCTGGTACATAGGAGAACTTTCCTTCCTCCCGTCCTCCCTCCATTCCTTCTTTTCTTCCTTTTTTCCTTCTGTCCATCCTTCTTTCCTTCTATGAAGGGATGTTTGTGGTAGTCTTAGTTTAGAATAATATTAAAACTTACATGTTCATAGGATGCTTTATGGCTTACAAAACACTTTGTATAGATCATAGCCACACAACTCTCTCTAGACCAAGCCATTTCCTCTCCACTATACAAAGAGATTAAGCATATAACAATTGCTAACATGTCACCATCTTTCTGTTATACATACAGTCAATGGACACATGTCACAGTTTCTTTCCAAAAGGTACTTTCCAAAACTACCCCTGCCTTAGTCCTGGTCTTTTCCTCCCTATGTAGGAAGTAGGGTGTAGTTGTATTCTCACCACCTTCAAATGATAAATTGTCAGAAACCACAAAGCTTAGGAGAGAACAGAGGTAAGCAATCTCATTAAGCTTCAGCTGCCAAGAAGATAAGGCCAGAGCGAAAGATTTGGGGGATAGGAGTGGGTGGAGAAGAAGTAATTTTTTAAAAAAAGGTAGTCCTATTCTCATTGTCTCTCTTCCCCTCACCTCTGATCACCTACTCATTTGTTACCTCTTTCCCTTTAGTATTTTATTTTTTTAGTTCCTCTTGTCTGCTTTTACTTGGTTTTATATTTCTTCTCTCTCTTTTTTTCTCTCAGTCACATAGATTTCTCCTTCCTTTCTTCCCCTTCATCTAATCCCATTCACTAGTTTTAAAATTTCTTTTTTTGTGCCCCTTTCCAAAAAGATTTCCTTCACTGTCTTCATTATCCATCTTCTCTTTCTATTTACTCTAGACACTCATTCTTTGATTCATGACCTCTATAATTACCTGGTCTGTTTTCTCTGTATTCTTCATATAGTCAAAACTTTCAAGGTATCCAATCTAGGCTCTATCCTTAAGCAATTTCTGCCACTGCCTTATAGGACTGATCTCATAGATTCCCCTTTTCCATTGTACCTCATTTACTAGATCTGGAGGCTATATTTCCTCATGTATCTGTTTTTCCTCTTTATTTGTTTATATTTGAGATCTTTGAGATTTCTTTTCCTTGAACTCCTTGGTACTTTCAGTCTTATTTCTCCCTTGTGTTCCCCATCTTATTTTCCTTATCACTCACTTCCTGACTCCCTCCTCTCTCATTGTGGTTTCCTTAGGTGTTGGATCTCAGCATCTTTTCACACTGGGAAATTCATGGTTCACTAGCCTAGGTCTCTGCCTCAACTGACTTTTGGTTGGTCAGAAATACCCCCAGATGGATGATGTGCGCTTTCCCTCAGGCTTGGTGGAGTGCTGTGCAGCTCCCCACATGCAGGGTGTCCTGTCCTGTTGATTTGTCTCATTCTCTTTTGGTTTTTAGTTCTCTGACTGGTATACTGGCAGTTCAGAGCCTGCTTTCCCTGGCACTGGCAGATTAGACTTTGTAGCACTGGTACTTCTGGATTGCAAGCCCAGCCGTCTTTTACTTCCAAAAGTTGGTGGCCGAACTGGCTGTTGGGGCCCAAGCAAACTTCTACACCCTGGAGCTGGAAAGGGGGAGAGAGAAAAAATTAGTTTTATGGTTTTGATCTTAGCCTGTGCTGTGTCTGAGTGTTCTAGTGTGGCCTTACTGCCAGTGGGGGAGGTGTTAAATGTAAACAGTTAGACCATGTTGGTGTGATTTCATCCACTGAAATATAGCATTAAAGAGAAGAGGGTAGAGTTTCCTGATGAGTGGGGTACCATAAGGCATAAGAGTCTTTGTTGAGCAAATTCACCCACACCACACTTCTAGTCTAAGAGAGGAACATTGTTAGAGACGGAGCTTAAGGAAAGAGGTGGTCAGCTCTTAGAGAGCCTGGATTTTATCCCAGAGTACCCTCTAGTGTTGGGTTGAGTGTATAACCACCAGGCAAGGATGACTTCCAGAACTTGACTGTCATAGAACAGAATCAGGGACTTGGCCAATGGAAATCTGGAGGTTAAACTTAAAATACTATAACCTCTTTTCACTAGACTTCTTCTGTGGATATCACTATTAGTCTATACTCACTGTCTGAAGATCTTACCCTGCCTTTTCCTTTCATTTACCTAGGCCATTCCACTTGTCTGAAAAAGAAGTGATTCTCCTCTTCACTTTTTGAAATTTTTCTCTTCCCTCAAAGCACCTGCCACCTCTTTTGAGAACATTTCCACAGCTGAAAGTTTTCTCTTCCTCCTCAAGTTTTCAAATCTCATTAGATCATTATTGCCTTGAGTGTCTGCAAATTCAAGTTTCATCAGCTCTATTATATAGATGAGAAAACTGAGAACAAGAGAGATGAAGTGACTTACCTAAGGTCATATAGCTAGTAAGAAGAGTCAGGACTCAGAGCTGGTTCTTCTGATTCTAAATATTGCACTCTTTCTACCATTAGAATATGGAGTTCATGGGAAAACGTCCTTTTTCCTGAGTCTGAAGCTGCTAGTTTACAAATGAAATTTTGGAACACAACTTACTTGTGCGCTGGCTCCATCCTGTAGCATGTATTCTTTTCTGTACTCGTTGTAGACTGCTTTGGAGTTCCCACACGCCCATCACCAGGCACAATTTGAAAAAGGGTTGGCAACCTCTCTGAAGTGGCCTTCCAAGTCTTTCTTTCTTTATTTCCTTCCAGCAAAGGGTCAAAAGGGGAGGAGGGATAGCTTGCTTGTGACTCACTCATGAATCACTCTCCATTCTCTCTTTCCACCACCTCCCTGACCAGTCACTGTAGTCAAACTCAGAATCATGGCATCCAGGCTCTCTGGGTCTGTGAGGAAATGGAGAGTTGGAGACAACTCCAGGAAATGCTTCTAACAACTTTAGACTCCTGGCACTGAGGAACACCTGGTGACTCTAGGAAGGGAATTTAGTACCTAAATGGAAAATAGGCAGTAGAGTATGATCATTTCTGTCTATACATTACCTATTATGCTACTCAACATTTCTCCACTGTCCACTTGTGGCACACATGCCATAGATTATCAAATCTCAGAGCTGGAAAATGATGGCAATCCTATAGCTTATCACCTCTCCATCACCCTTTGGGGAAAGCTATCAATTTTTCATTGTCCCAAACAAGAGATGACATTTATAGAAAACTTCAAGGTTTGCAAAGAACTTTATATAAATTGTCTCATTTGAAACTCGTGATAACACTTTGAGATGAGGACTGCTGATATTATTAAACATATTTCATAGATGAGGAAATTGAGGCTCTGAGAAGTTACTAGACTTGCCCATGGTCACAAAGAATGTTAGTGAGAATCGGGTGAAGAGACTTGAGAATGTTTAGACTGAAACATTAGACTTAGAGAAAATGTGATAGATGTCTGTATGTGCTGGATTTGAAGGGCTGTTGGGTGAAGGAGACATTTAATTTCTTCTGTTTGATCGTAGAGTGCAGGACCTGAACGAATGGGTAGAAGTTGCAAAGAAACAAATTTTAACTTGATGCCTGAAAAACAGCAACAACAATAGCAAACAACCCAATGAACTCCTTAATGAATGTTGCTCAGTCGTGTCTGACTCTTCCTGACCCCATGGACCACAGCATGCCAATATTTTCCATGAAGTTTTCTTGGCAACCCTGGGCAAATCAGCCAATTGTCCAGTGCCCCAGGTACTCCCTAAGTCTGAAAGGTACAACAAGGCTGTTCATGTATAACAATGGAGTGTCCACCCTGGATGTTCTATCTATCAGTCACTCACAGGTGGAGAGTGGCTGCCTAGCACCATGGATAGCTTCCTGGATTTGAGCCTGAAGGATATGGCTTTACATTTGACCTCTGACATCTATGAGTAAGTTATGTAATATCTCTGAGCCTTGGTTTTTTCATGCAATGTGCAGTACTTGTTGCACCTGCCTCAAAAGGCTGTTATGAGGCTTATGCGAGATAATATGGGAAACATGCATTTAGCTGAGGTGCCAAATTAGTGTGACCTGGCTTAATTCAGACTTTTTTCCCCCCCAGCATTTAGTTGATCTTCAGTTCTGATACAGGGTTACCTAAGTGTCAGTTATCACAATTATTCACACATAATAAATGGGAAAGGCAGCATGGGCAGTGAGTATATAAAAAACTTGTCTTGGAGCTAAGAAGACCTAGGTTTGAGTCCTGCTTCTGATGCATACTGGCTGTGTGACCCTGAGCAAATCACTTAACCCCTCATTCCTCCAGTTCTTACAGGAGTTCTTAACTTGGAATCTTTGATGTTATTTTTTCAATAAATATTTTGATTTCAAACAAAAAAAATTCTTAAATATTTTAAATTTAAACATTTCAATAATTAATTTCTCTTGTAAAATTATGGATTTTATTTTATGCATTTAAAACATTATTCTCAGAAAGTATCCATAGGTTTTAGCAGATTGCATCTTGGACACCAAAAAAGTTAAGAACCTTTGTTCTAAGACTATAAGTTACAGAAATAATTGCTAATCTGTGTTGGTTGAGAAAGTTTCTTCATCCCTAAAGTATTGAAATTACCAGTCCAGTCCCTATCTCAATATATTTGATATTACGTATTTCACAAATGTTTTTTAGAAATAATTCTAAAATTTAGAGTGCTATTGAGAAATTGAAAAATTACTTTAGTGACCCCAAACATCTCCCTGAAACAAGAGCCTATCTTTATGAAACTAATATTATTCTGGTGTTGTTGTGTGACTGTTAGTCATGAAATACAACAATCTTTAGGATTTTAAAATTAATATCACCTAGAGGGCAATGGAGAAGCATGTGGTGGGTGTAAGCAGAATATAACACATAGCAAACAAGATTTGAAGGAGAAGTGTACCTGATTACATCAGAAAATTGTCTCATTAAAAAAAAAAGATTAGTAAGCGCAAGGGATAGGCAGCCATCAGTTAGCAAACATTTATAAAGCACCTGTTATGTTCCAGGCACTGTGCTTAGCAATGGGGATACAAAATGAGGCAAAAGTCTGGACAGGGCAAATACTCCATGGATAGTCTTCTGATGGAAAATGAATGTGTAGAAAGTCCCCAGTACACTGTTAGTAGACCCTTGTGTCAAACACGTAGCTCGATGGGTATAAGGATTGTTGTGGATAGGCAGGCAAGGCTGGGTTGCCACTTGCATCATTTGAGGGAGTATCTGTATTGATGAAGGCACAGGTCTATTTGAGCATTTGTGTAACCTGGAATAAGGAACACTATGCCCTAGGGAAGAAGCCTGAATCATGAGCATTATCTCAAGCTCACATGAAGGGCATGGCACAGCACCATGAATCCACTGAGTGTAGTGGGTAGAGACCTTCATTACCTGGTGGGAGGGACTCCAGTAGGTGCCTGTCCTAGATAACAAGAGATACTCAGTCTTAGGTAATGGAGTCAGGGTAGGGGAAAAGGAGGTACTCTTATTGTCTGGAGATTCAAGATTATGGATGGAAAGCATACTGGCTGAGACTAGATTGGGTCTTCCAGGGTGAGGAGGAGGGGGAGTAGTATAGGGTGAGAGTTCCATGGCCTTCATAGAAATATCTCTCTCTCTCTCTCCATACACACACACACACACACACACACACACACACACACACACACACACACCCTATAACAACATGACATATTTGGGAAAGTAGGTACATATTACATATAAATATTGCCATTTTTTCAGTTATATTTGACTCTTTGTGACCTCATTTGGGGTTTTCTTGGCAAAGATATTGGTTTGTTACTTCTTTCTACAGCTCATTTTCCAGATGAGATAACTGAGGCAAGTAGAATTAAGTGACTTGCCTAGGGTCACATGATTAATAAGTGTCTGAGACTAGATTTGAACTCAAGAAGATGAGTCTTTCTGACTCCATGTCTAGAGCTCTATCCACTGCAGTGCCACCTAGCTGCCTATTATACAGAAATATGTTACTATAGTATGTATTATATTTACATATATATGTATACACACAGATGTATATATTAGATACCTATATGTATATATTATACTGTTTCTTTTCTGATTCCCTTAACTTTGTGTGCTCAAGTCATATGCCTCATGCCTCATTTGCCTCAACCTTGTCAAGCTTCTGTTGCTTCCATCCATCTAGGATTGAGGGCATGCCCATGTCAAGGGAATGAGAGAAAAAGTCAGAAGGATGTAGCCTCAAATTCCCCTGAAGCAAAGTAAGATAGCACTGTCAAATTAAAACACGCTAAATCTAAGAGGGAGAATTGTTGGGGTGAAGGGAGGCAGAGAGAAAGGTGTGTGTCAAAATCAAGGGTTGTTATTTTATTCATTCATACATTTATTCATCTGTTTATTGCTGCTATTGCTGCTGCTGCTGCTGCTGTTATTTGCACTGGAGGAGGTAAAGCTCAGGGAGGTGAGGGAACTCTCTCACCTGGGATTTGAACCTGGATCTTCTGATGTTCAATCCATTGAAAACACATGTATTTACTCCAGGGTTTATCTGGTGAGCATCATGATACAGTAGATCTAGAATGACTTGGGGTCAATAGACCTGGGTTCCTTCCCTGCATCTGACACTTCCTGTGTGACATTAGGCAAGTCCCTTGGCCCCACCCTGGGACTGGTTATAAAGTAAAGGAAATGGGACTAGCTGTCCACTGAGGCTTCTTTTCACCTTCATATTTAGACTATTAGATAGAATTTAACATCTTTGAGGGTGGGAACTTTGATATTTGTGCCTTGGTGCCTAGAACAGTGCCTGGCACCCAGTAGGTAATTAATAAATACTTTGTGATTGATTGATTAAGTGTGCTGAACAGAGAAAGCTCTACTGGCTGAGAAGAGCAGTGAGAGGGTGTGGGGGGGGATGCAAACTCATGGAAAAGGCATGTGTGATTTGGAAAGAGTAGAGAATGATCTGATTAATCACAGGATAGGATTTCAGGGATTTTCTTAAGGGCTTTAGTTCTGCCCAGTATCTCCTCTGAGCCCCTGGCTGTTTCCATCACTATCCTTTTCTTGTGAGAATAGAGCCGGACTACTGGCCCAATAATTCAACCACAGGAGAATTGGCCCACAGCGCCCCTCATAGTGGCCCAGGCCTCATTGCAATGAAAAGCAGCCAAGAAGATATGGCTTGGTTTCTGACCAATGAATATGAGGTCACTTACTAAAGAGAAGAGGGAATCTTGGCCCAGCTCCTTACAGGAAATTATATTGCCTCAACTTGGGAATTTGTAACCCCCTCTCCAAAATGTCCAGCTGCAGAAATTTGGGAAAGGTCCCAGCTGAGCAGGTCCCCACCCTGGGTCTCATCAGTTTGAGTAGGGCAATCTGCAGTCTGGAGCTATCCCCACTAGGCTCATGGGTCAAATCATGATATCAGTGAGGTTTGTCTGCAGCTCTTTCTCACCTACATTCTCTTCATCCTTCACCCTATGGTTGCCACCCAGACCACCGTGAACCTCCATGGAGTCCAAAGCCATACAGCAGTTAAGTGTACGAGGACTGGTGGAAGAATTAGGGATACTTAGCCAGTAGAGAAGACATGAGGGAAGAGGTCAGGCTAGATACCCTTTAGTATCTGAAAGGGTGATGGGTGGATGAGGGATTGGACTGTTTTGCTTGACCTGAGGGCTGAACTTGGCACTCAGCAGAAGCTGCAGGGTCAATGTAAAGGAAAAAAATGTTCCAACAAGTAGAATGGTCCCAAATTGGAAGGGCACTGCCCAGGCAAGATGTGGGCTCTGCCTTTACACTGAAAGTCTTCAAGCAATACTTTTGGACCCAGCAATACCACTACTTGGTCTATTTTCAAAGATGATTAGGGGAAAAGAAAAAGAACCTGTATGTTCTAAAATAATCATAGCAGCTCTTTTTGTAGTGGCAAAGAACTGGACGTCACAGAGGTCCCCATCAACTGGGGATGGCTAAACAAGTTGTGGTATATGATTTTGATGGAATATTACTATACTACAAGAAATGATGAGCTCAATGATCTTAGAAAAAGATGGATAGATTTGCATGAAATAATGAAGAGTGAAATTAGGAGAACTAAGAAAATGTTGTATACAGCAACAGCAATATTGTTTTAAGAACAACATTGAATGACTAAGTCATTTTGACTGTTATAAATTGACTACAAAGGACAAATGAAGGAAGAAACTCTCTGTAACCAGAAAAAGCAATGGTAAATCGAAGTATGTATAGAATGATTCTACATACACACACACACACACATATACACACACACACACACACACTTGTGTCTAATGGAAGCCATCTCTAAGGCTGGGGAGGGGAAAAAGGAAAGAAAAATAGAAATTTACATGATAACTGTATTATATATTTAAAAGGAATAGCAAGTTATATATAATAGATTTGCAGTTTCATGTGCAATCATCTTTTTATTACATTATATTATAGAAATGCTTTTTTTATTCCATAAATAAAAATAAAATAAATAAAATTTTTAGAAAATAATGTATGCACATGGTTCAGAGACATTGTAGAGGGGGTCCTAGTTCAAGTATGGGATGGGAACGTTGGTGCTTTGATGTCCTTTTTGACTCAGAACTTCTCTGACTCTGAGTGTTGGGCCCCTGGACAAGCAGCTCATGCTTGGTGTTCCTCCCACTATGAAACACTGATTCTCTCACACAGTAACTTACCTGAGCCTGAGTTCTCCTTTTAGGTTGTCAGGAGGACTGTTGGGTACTCACAGAAGAACTAATGAGTCCCAGAGTTGAATGAAATTATCTTACCCGCATCCTGGTACCTTCATCAAGTAGTCCTAGTTTTGACCTGTGTCTGTCTTATCCTATATGAGCTGTGAGCTCCGTGGGGTCAGGGACTATGTCATAGCTATACTCTGCATCTTCTCCAGCACCTACCACATCATTCACCCCACTGCTCCTTGGTCTGGGTCCAAGGAGAACAAGACCAGTTTAGATGTCAGTCAACAAACATTTATTAAGTGCTTCCTATGTAATGGATACACTAAGCACTGGGGATACAAAGGAATACAAAGGTAGTCCCTGCCCTCAAGGACTTCACAATCTGATGGAGATGACATGTAAATTAGAGGGTGCATTTTATATCTATTTATCTATATCTATCCATCCATCCATCTAGCTGCCTATCTATCTATCCATCTCCATCTTTCTATATATCTATCATCTATTTATCTATTTGTCTGTCTATCTACCTATCCATCATAAATGGAAGGACATCTTAAAGGAAAAGGCACGAGGAGTGGCCAGGGGCACTGGGGAAATTCTCCTGCAGAAAATCCTCCAGTTATCACTAGAATTGAGCTATGAAGAGAGACAGGAATTTGAAGTAGTTGAAAGAAAGGAGCCAGGACTAGGGTTAAAAGAGAAGGACTGTTGAGCCAGGTACTGACCTCCTCAGCAAAGTGGAGAGCAGGGCCCATAGGCTGACAGATAATGAGAATAAGGAGATGGATTAAATGATGGTGAAGGTCTCAAGGAGGAGAGGTTGCTAAGTGATAGTTGGAAGGGGAGAGCCTGGAAATGTAATGGAGAGCAAGGAGCTGATTAACTCCTCTTTCTGGCCCGTGTCTGGAGACAGGTATGATGCAGCAGTGAAGGGGGGGGGCTCAGATATGCCTTTCTCCCAGAGAAGACCCAGTATTCCTTGCAGACAAGAAGTTGAGAAGGATGCAAGAAGAAGGCATTCGAAATTCAGGGAGATGTGCTCATGGGCAAAACAGACGCTGCAGAGGCCACAATGGAAAAGTAAAGTAGGGGAGAAAAGAGGCCAGAGAGTAGTGAGACTGAACAGAATTGGGGCAAGGGTACAAGGGGCAGGAAGTAGGGTGAGGGGTCATTTGGTTGAAGACACTGATTTTGACTCATTGGGATTAAGGAAGCGACTGGTGCAAAGCTTGTGGTCCCCGGTACACGTTGGTTGCCACAGCCACCTTCCAGAGTCTGAGATGATATTTAGAAATTATCTAGCCAAACTCTCTTTTTAAAGAGGAGGAAAGGAACTGAGAAAGTGGAAGGGACTTGTCCAAGATCATACTCCTAGTAACTAAAAAGAGGCAGATTTGAAATGAGTCTTCTGGCTCCCACTGCAGGGCTCTGTTCAGGGGTGCTGGAGCCAGCTCATACTGGCTTGCAAGAGCCAACTGTTTCATTGTGAACATTCACACCTGGGAAATTGGAAAATATGACACATCAGGACTTGATATATTGTTTTGTTGATGGTATAGACTTAAGAAAGTGATGGAGGGGGAGGTTAGGTGGCTCAGTGGAGAGAACACTGGCCCTGGAGTTGGGAGGACTTGAGTTCAAATCCAGACTCAGACACTTGACATTAGTTATGTGACTCGGGCAAGTCATTTAACCCTGATTGCCTTCCCTCCAAAAAAGAGAAAGTGATGGAGAAAGTGTTAATAAGATTAACTTAAATGTCTGCTGGATATACATTCTCCCCCACCCCTAAAAGCCAATTGTTAAACACTTACCAGCATAGCACTGGTTCCATCCACTAAGCTACACTGTCTCCCATCACAGGGTTGTTGTGTGATCCAATGATGTCATAAAGGATTTAGAAGCACCTTGAAAAGTCAAAGGCACTATGCCTGTGTGGGCAGCTATTATTAAAATCTCCTGAATCAGGATACAATGTTATGGGAGTATATACGACTAAAGAAAACAGACTCTGAATCCAGCTTTCAGATAGTTGGAGAGGCCTTTATAGAGCAATCTCAAAACGGGTTGAACTGCCTTGGGAAGTGGGAGGCTCCTGCTCACTAGGGATCCTTCAGGAGGGGCTGGATGGCTACTATAGAAGGATTTCTCACTCCTATTCATTGTAGCTAGATGGTGCCTGAGCCAAGCTGCCTTCCAAATCCGCCACTCTGGGATTTTTTCTGAATTGCTTTGTACCTGCATTATGTGAGGCTCTTCTCACAAGAACTCCTTCTGCTGACCCATCGCCGATCTTCTATCCTCAACCTGGGTAATGTCTCACTGAGTGGTGAGCTCCAGTAGGGAGGAGATGGCTTCCGGTCCTGCCTTGATAGGTGCCTGGATGCTTATTCAGAGCAAAGCCAACTTGAATTGGCTGCTCAGGAATTCGCTCCAGGGAGCCTGGCTGTGGGCTTTTCAGCTGTCTCCCTGTGAAGCTTGCTTTGCACTCATTGCTTTCAAACTAGGCTGTCTTGAGGAGGGGAAAATGGGTGTGGAGCTGGGAACAGTGAAAGACAGGGAGTGAGAGATGCCGGCCAATGGACAAGGAACGGAGAATTTTCCAAGTGACATGGTTTAGATCTCTTCAGCACACTGAGTTACTTTGTTTCAGAAGAGTTTCCCTATCAGGCAGACTCCTGCCTACCCTCTCAGGCTCTGTAGGGGTTGGTGTGTGGCGTTTGTTTCTCATCTCTGTGCCTCAGTTTCCTTGTCCGTAAAATAAGGAGAGTTGAACAATTTTAAAAGTTCTTTTTATCTTCAATGTAGGATGTAATGAAAGGCGACTCTAAGTTTCCTGAAAACAGGACCTGCTGTGTGTGTGTGTGTGTGTGTGTGTGTGTGTGCTGTCTTTGCATCCAAAGTGCCTAGCCCAATGATTTGCACATACCAGATGCTTAATTGTTGCCTGTGGAATTGAATTAAATTAATGTTGTATTATTTACTTGAGGCTGGAAAATCATTCACGTCAATCCAGTCCTCTCAGGCTTTCTTCATCCTTTGCTCCCTGGCTCTAAACTTTAGCTTCTACTCTGAGGCCCCAGGCTCCTGATTGGTGAGAGCTGCCCATGTTTAGTCCAGACCCAGACTCCATCCCATCCCCTCCCCCACCCTAGCCCCGCCATGTTTCCCAGGCTACACTATGTCCATATCCTTCCACGACACCTGAACAGTAAGCAAATCAATACCATCATTCCTAGAAATGACGTGTCAGTCAATTATACTATGGGTCTACTTACTATCTTTATAACTTACCAGGCCAAAGCACCTTTTCCTAGGTACCAGCCCCCTGTAGGGTTGTCCCATCCTATTCAATGTAATGTGTAAAGGAAGAAGTTTTCTCGTTTTTTCTTAGGACATAGTAAGCCCTTAATAAGCGCATTTCAGTCATTAATGCATTTCAAGGTCATTTAGCCCAAATTTCTTGTTTTGTAGTAAAGGAAGGCTCAGAAACATGATGTGGATTTCCCAAAGTGCATATGTATTGACCAGTAAAGCTGGAATTTAAACCAGTTCCTTTGCCAACAAATCCCAGGCTCTTTCCATAGCTCTCCATTGCTTCTCTGTCCTCCTGGAGTTCGTTGCCTAGCAGTGATGGAGTGTTTCCATAGAGGAAGTATGAAATAGGAAAAAGGGGGCTGCCCTTGGGATCAGGACACTTGGGTTAGTGCCTCACATTGGATACTGATGGCCCTGAGTGAGTCAGTTCACTTCTCCAATCTTACCTTTCCTCCTCTGCAAAATAGGGATAATGCTTCGGTTGGCCACACTCTGACCAAGCTAGCCTTCTTCACACATGGAACTGCATCTCACGCTCTTGTGCTAGATGCCTGCTAATGACAACAGTAACAGCTAACACTTTATATAGCATTTACTATGTGCCAGGCTGTAGGAAGCTCTTTGAGATTTATTATCCTATTTGAGCCTTACAACAGCCCTCAGAGGTAAGTGCTAATATTACCCTCATTTTATAGATGAGGAAACTGAGGCAGAGGTTAAGTGACTTGCCCAGGGTCACGTAACTAGTAAGTGTCTGAGGCTGGATTTGAACTCAGGTCTTCCTGACTCCTGGCCTGGTGAGCTATCTACTGCATCACCCTAGCTGCCTTAGTGCTCCAATGCATCCTTCCTTACCCTTACCTCTTCTAATAGCTGTTTTTCTTCATGATTCAGCTCAAGCACCATCTTTTACATGAATTCTTCCCTGATCACTTTGGATGTGAGTACTTTCTCCCTACAAACTGCCTTTGGCTGAGTTTTAATATAATTTGTATGTGCTATCTATTTGCATATGTAAGGTCCTTGATGGGCTGCTTTGCTTGCCTTTCTTTTTCCATACTCAGCACACTTTCTGTCATACAGTAGGTGATTAATAAATGCTTGTTGGTTGGTTTTCAGATTGGATATTCTAAAGCTGGAAAGCCCCTGCAAGGACGTCCCTCCTCCTCGTCACAATGAGGAGACTGAAACCCAAGGGCAGCAAATGACTTACATAGGTCACAAAAGTCATGTGCATCAAAGGCAGGATTGGAATCCATGCCCACTGACTCCATTGTACTGTAGTTGGATTGGGCTGAATCGACAAGACATTACCAGGGGCTCTGGCTGCTGGCTTAGTCTTCAAAAACACAGAGCCAACTCCATGCATCACCAAGGTCCTGGCGGAGAATTTCACGAAGCTTAAAGTCAGCAACATCAGGGAACTGGACACTTGTAATATGCAGGGCACTATACTGAGTCCTGGGACTACAAAGGGGTACATGACATAATCCTTTTCCTGGAGAGATTTACAATCCAAGTGCATAGGCAGGATAGAGACATAAGGAGAAGAATTAATAGTATATGGGAATATAAAGCTAGGTGCCCAGGGAGGGGTACAGACAAACGGTATTACAGGCAGGGGTGTCCTAGAGCCTGTTTGAACTGGCTAGCAAGAGCCGATTGTTAAATTTTCAGTGTAGGCATTTACATCTTGGAAATGGGCCAGGGTTTGATTTATTGTTCTGCTGATCATCTAATGATAAAAGTGATGGAAATAATGACACAGATTAAATTTAGAACTGCATCAGGTGTGTTTTTTTCTCTAGGAGCCAGTTGTTAAATATTTACTAGCACATTTCTGGTTACAGGCTTCAGAGAAGAGACTAGGGTCATCATGAAGGGCTTTACCAAGGAGCTACCATTTGAAGCCAGTTTTGGAAGAAGAAAGGTGAGACTCAGACAAGAAGAGAGGGTTGGGGAGGGCATTCCAGGCAGGGAGAAAGATGTAGGCAAAGGCATGGAGGTAAGAAGGAGAGGGGTTATTTGGGGAATAGTACATAGTTTAAAGCAGAGGGCTCTTTAAAGGTCAGCAGCAGGAGACATAGCTGGAAAGATAGTGTGGCACTACATTGCAGAGGGCCTTAATGACAGGCTAAACTAAGAAATTTAGACTTAGGATTGCTGAATACTTTGAATTGGTAAGGGACCTTAGAAGCCATTTAACCTAATCCCTTTATTTTACAAATGAGAAAACTGAGGTCCAAGACACTGAATGCCATGCCCAAAGCTCAGGTTTCATATCCCTTTAACCCTATAGTTATACAGTTAATTAGTGTCAAAGGTGGGTTTCGGGATGCAGAGGATAGAGCTTTGGATCTGAAGTCAGCAAGACATGAGTTCAAATCCAGCCTCAGATACTTTCTAGCTGTGTGACCCTGGGCAAGTCATTTGATCCCCACTTGCCTCAGTTGCCTTACCTGTAAATTGAGACTAATAATAGCACCTACCTTGCAGGGCTATGAGGATCAAATGAGATAATTGTAAAGCACTTAGCACAGTGCCTGGTACATGGTAAATGTCATACAAATGTGAGCTATTATTTGAACACATCTTCTTGGCTCTAAGTTCAATTCTCTATTCTCTCTATGTCTTGCTCTTGTCTTGCCAACTACATTCCAATTCTCCTCCTGCGGCTGGACTCAAAGTGGGAGGACCTGAGCTCAGTGTCTGCCATCTACCATTTGGGTGACTTTGGGCTTATTTCCCCTCTCTGCCCTTCCAAGCTTCTCAATTCTGTCTGCACAAAATATAAAACCATCAGGGAATGAGAGAAGTGGAAAGCATGAGTTATTTCCAAGGGTAGATGGGACCATGATTTCATTAAAAGAAATCTTTAAAACTCTCTTCTCACATCATAGTAAGTGGAAGTGACTGGATTTCACTGGTGCCCTAGCCCTAGATGTCCTGATAAGCAGCCTCGGGGTATAAGAATAACATTCCCCAGTTGGCCCCAGAGAACACAGGACCCTGAGAGATAATTGGAAGGAAACCCTTAGGTTTTGTTCAGCTTCTAAACCTCTGGGAAAATTTGATGTGGGTGTGTATTCAATATCCCTTCCCCTCACGTTAGATTATGAAATTGCCCTGGCCTATCCTGGTGTTCATGACAGAGACCAGCTCGGAGAGGCAGAGACAGAGGCAGAGGCAGGTTTTGTGTTCCTCATTCCTGGAGAACTTCTATAAAAAGCCTAAGGGACAGGAGAGTAAGGGAGAGCCTGCAGAATAGAAGTGTCCTGGTTTGACTTACTGTGTGAGCAGCAATACTTCTGTAATAGGGACCTATGAAATCTCCTTAAAAGGAGGGGCTTCTCCTCTCAGAAAAGCCTGGCATGTGCTTTTTTCCCCCTGACCAGAATAAACTCTATAGAAGTTACTGATTTCACATACAATTCTCTTTTCTGTTTTTCTTTTCATATTGAAAGTTCTTGGCACATAATGAATGCTTGACAAATTCTCTCTCTCTCTCTCTCTCTCTTCTCTCTCTCTCTCTCTCTCTCTCCCCTCTTCAGTAACCACCTCTGGGTCCTAGGGGCTGGGGCACTGCACTCACTCCTCCAGATCTGCTCCCTTTTCAATCCTAGTGAGAGTCTAGCTTTACTGAGAGGAGATAGTCTCTTTGGCTCATTAAACACTCGCCTTCATCAAACACTCAACATCAGGACACATTATTTAGAGCTTACATTCAGGCTTCTATTCACAGTTTCTTCAAAAGGGTGACTAGAAAAGTATCAGCATATAATACCATCAGCTATGGGACAGGCACTTATTTCCTATCCACAAAAGAAATGCTAAAACACAAAAGAGTTTTACAAGCATACGTTGACAGTAAAACTTAAGCTAAACAAGGACCAAGCTAACTACTGTTAGACTCAGCTCAGAAAGTGACCGTTAAAAGTGTCTAAGCATCTCCCAGAGTGCATTGCTCTCCACATGAAAGAATTGAACCGAAGGACTGAAAAGGAAGCTCTCTCCTTTGCAAAGGTCCAGTGAGTCATTGGCTCCTCTGGCTGAGCAGCCAATGAGGCGATCACTTCGTGGTATCAAATTTCCCAAGGTCTTTAGTGCTAAGCAGCCATATGCCCAGAAGCAGCCAACGAGCTCATCTCTGATGCATTCAGTGATGGATCACCATATCCCTATAGTCCCTGGCAGTTTCTAGTGGAGCTCCAGGAACATACACCCCACGATGATCCCTACACCCTCTGCTACCCTCTCCACCCCTCCTCTCCTCTTTCCTTCCTTCCTTCTTTGTTTCTTTCTTATTTTCTTTCCTTCTCTCCTTTCCCTCCCTTCCTCCTCCCTTCCTTCCTTTGACTAAGTTCAGTAAAAAAAGAAAAAAAAAAGAGAAAAAATATGGGAATTTCTTTTGTTTGAATACACATATTTATTATACAAGAATTCCCCTCCAAACTACCCTAACCCCACCCCCCATGGAGAAGAGGTGGGAGAGAGAGAAAAATGTTTTTTAAGTGGAAAAAACGAAAAACAAAAAACGTTTAACTTAAGGAAAGAAAGAAGGGCTAGAGCCACCCCCTGCTGGGTGCAGAAGAGAGCTACAGGTAGGGTGATGAGGATGAGCTGCAGGGCCACTGGCAGGTGTCATGTGACTTTCCCATGGCTGTCAAAAGCTGTGTTAGGCGCCATGTTGGGAAGCAATGTGGGGCAAGGTCTGTAGAAAGCATGACACTAAGTGACTGAAGTTACGTAGGCCTCCAAGAAAAGGCTGCTTGTTGGCCCCTATCTGCCGTTCCCATGAACTCTGCTGGGAGGTCTATTTGTTTTCTTTGACCTGTAAATAGCCCTTTTTGTCTTTGAATTTGTGAGCTCCCACTTTGGGTGCTCACAAGGGGCCTTGGTGATGACTTGCTGGGTGGTGTCTTCTAGAAAAGTCTCCAGATTTTCTGGGTGGGTAAAGCAAGCCAGGGATGCAAGAGATCTTCTCAATGGAACCTGGGCCCTTGGGAGAGCTGTCATGGGAGAGCTGAGCCTTGTGCCCTATGACATAGAGCCACCTAAACAAGAAAGCCCTCTCCTCTGAGGCCAAGCTACAATCTCACAGCCTTTTCCCCCGATCCCTCTCCTTCTGCCCAGTGACTTGACATCCTCCACCACCAGTCATCCAGAGTAGCAGCTTGTCAGCAAGAAGGGGGGTGGCCTCTGCTGTAGACCGCATGCAGCCATCATCAGCTCGAATGGAACCATGGCAGAGACGAAAGCAGTAGTTAGGAAGATTGACCCCGAATGCCTTTATGACCTCTCTTTTTTCCCCTCGGTGATCCTACTTCTTATCTTTAATAGATTTCAGAGGGGGAAAGGTTCTGAGAAGCCATCTAGTAGTCCAGCCTGTGTCTGAATAAAAATGACTTTTATAATCTCCCCAGCAAGCGGTCATCCGGCTTCTGTTTGAAAACTTTCTCCAATTCCCAAGGCAGCTCCTCCGTCGGGGGATGACTCTATCGTTAAGGAAGAAACGCCAATTAACATGGAGGGAATTTGAGTTTTGTCAAAACACTACAGCGGCAGCTAGGGCTCACAGTGGAGAGAGTCCTTGGTGTAGAGTCAGGAAGACCTGAGTTCAAATGTTGACTCAAACTCTTGGTGATCCTAGGAAAGTCATGTAAGCTCTCTTAACCTCAGATTTCTCATCTGTTAAATGGGGATAATAATAGCACCTAAATCACTGGGTCTTTGTAAGGATCAAATAAGATGATATGTACACATATATATGCATACACACACACACACACAAATATATACATACACATGCATATATGCACACACATGCTATACACGTTATACACATACATATACGCACATACATAAATATACATGTGTACACGTGCACATACACATGCATGGACACACACATGCACAATACACACATACATGTACACATGCGCATACATGTACACGCTGTGCACATATTATATGCATACATGTATGCATACACATACACACATAAATATATTATATATGTACACATGCGCATACATATACGCTATATACATACATAAACATACACCTATGCACATTATACTGCACATGCATACACAAGTATGTTTACACATACTATACATGTATATTATGCACATACATATACACCTATACGTGTGTGTGTGTGTGTGTGTGTGTGTGTGTGTGTGTGTATCACTTTGCAAACCTTTGAGCACTATATAAACGTTGGCTCTATCATTAACCTCATTCCAAGGTAATTCCCACCAGATCTGCATGATCTTTCCCTGACAGCAGATTGGTGTTTGGACTGTGTTACAATCTATATGTTATCCCTTCTACTTTTGAGATGGTTCTAGAGTCCTTTTGAGGCTCTGAGGGGAAACTGTTGAACTCTTCTCCTTAGTCAGAGTTAAAGGGCCCATAGAATACATTCACTTGAAGGACTTTGGTGTCCTCGGGTGCCCTTGCTACTCAAGCAACAGTAAATGCCAAGGCCTTTGGAGTCCCATCATCCACTGACTGGGCCCTGGAGTCTGCAGGCTGACGCTCGATCTCTTTCACTCACTTGAGCCTTTGCTGCCTCTTCTTTCTCTTCCATAAAACAGGAGGGTTTGCTTGAAGTCCCTTCTGCCTGGAGATGGGGGCCTTCAAGGCTGGTGGTGGGGAAATGCACTGTTGTTCTCATGGGAAAGGTCTCACAGTTCTCAGAGTTGCCTGGCAGCTAAGGATAGGGCAGCAGATTTTAGTACTAGGGCTTAGGGCAGGGATTTGAAGGATGCCAA